GAACCAAGCACCACAACAAGAACACAGAAATTTAAAACAATGCTTAATGATAAATGAGGGAATCATCTCCACGGAGGTGGTCAAAATAGTTGAAAAGAATGGATGGTCATTCTATGCCYAACTGTTGTTCTTTCCATTTCTTCTGAGAAAGCAAGGGCTAGGGATTGTAAACCCTTGCCTCTTCTTTGTGTTGCACACTGAGCTGCCAGTTGGAGTGGCTCAAGACTGAAGCTGGCTGAAAGAGTTCTCAGCTTCCTTCTCACCAGTGTGAGGTATGAAGGAAAGGGAAGCATTGTCAATTGAAGTATTGTCTTCACAGACCAGATCAACRCAACTCTCAGGTTGGGGCTGCTGCAGAGTTCTATAGGAAGAGTTCTGTTGGCTGGAGCTTTGGTCTAATCAGGCCTCAGAGGCTCTGTTGGGTGTTATCTACTCTGGCAAGACTAGATAAACACACCCCTCAGGCCTGGCATTTGCCAATCTATTGCAGGGTGGTTCTAGATATCAGGAGCCTCCTAAGACTTCTACTTATGGGGTAGGGGACTCAATTCTCCACACACTCTGCTGCCCAAAAACACAGCCTTCCCAGACTTTGTCCCTGAGCGTATTCACACTCTCCTATCCAGATTCCTGACCCACTTCAGCTCATCACATGAGTTGCCAGACTCAAAGGAAAAGTAGTCGAGTTCCCCTTCACTTTTCTGACTTGACTCATTCTGGGAACAATTCCTGTGCCTCTTTCACTTTCACTCACGTTCTGCTGCCCAAATCCTAGACTGTTCAATAGGTGGCCTGCCTGGAGAGTATAGCAGTTGCTATGATCTCCCAGCTCTGCAGCTGCTGCATAGGTGCCTCAAGATAGCTCCCCCTTAAGGTCTCTGCAGCCAGTTGAGAAACAGCACTATTCAAGCACCCACTTTATAGTTCAGGCTCTGGATCAGCCGAGTTTAKATTGTTTTTCTGATTTCAGGTTTTTCCACGTGAAATTCATCCATTGTGTTTCTCTCTCTGTTATCCCTCCCTCTCTGAAAAACCAGTATTGCCACCACTTCCACAACTGGCTTGGCTTCCAATATTCTCTTTCTTCTCTGTATACTGTGCCCAAATTTCTGAGTCTCTAAGATATTTTGATTGTCCAATATTGAATTTTAGTCAATCCTTCTTTCTCCCACCTTGTTGAGAAGCAGTACTCCTGTTGCTTGAATCCCAAGCCAGAGAGCAACTATGAATGTACCCTTCCTCTCACTGGCCTTCTAGAATCTCTCTATGGTTCTTTTTGAAGGTAAATTTTAGACACAGTAAAATTGACAAAGCTAAGTACCATTCAGTGAGTAGTGATAGATACACGCCTCTATTCAGACCTTTTGCCAAGCTATGCAACATTCCTTTCACCCCAGAACATTCCTCTGTTTTTCTTCCTACTATAGGTTAGTTCTGCCTGTTATAGAACTTCATACCAAATGATTCATGCATTGGATATTCAGTAAGTTTTTGTGATTTTTCCATGTTGCTTTAATTTTCTTTCTTTGTATTGATAATTAGTATTCCATCACACAAATATATCTTAATTTGTTTACTCAGTCAATCTCCTACGGATGGACATGAGGACTCTCTTTCACTTTTGCCATCATGAATAAAGCTGCTATGAACATTCTTGTGTGTTTTTGGTTTTTTTTGTTTGTTTTTTGACTTATGGGTTAATGCCTAAGAGTGGAATTTCTGGTATAAGAAATTTTCAGGTCTTTTCCCAGAGTGGTTGTTCTATTTTTCACTTCCACCACCAACGCTTTCTCCACATCCTCATCAGCCTTTTTAGTTTCAGCCATTCATTGAAGGTAGTAGAGACTCTGATTGGTCTGACTGGTGCTGGTGGGAACTCACATCCCTTTCATTGCTCCCACAATCTCCTACTATCAGTGTGAAGCCAACCTCACTGGGTCTCACCTTCCACAAGGTTCTCACCTCAGAAGTTGGCAGAGGWTATAGTACTATTTCCACAGCTTATTTGTGCCAAGACCCTAATCCAGTAAAAGAATTTCATCTRTTATTTGTCTGACACCTCTATCTTGCTTAGGAAGAAAAGTTTAAAATATCAAAACAATCATCTGACTGGGTCCAGTTGGCAAGTTCAAAGCTATCTTTTGTTTAATGATATATTCAGAGGCAAAAGATTCTCACTTTTAATTATGAGCCTTTGTCTCTGTTTCCAGCAAGATGTAAAACATTAACAATATTCTAGACTCGAGTTCCACCCATTTTCCCTCCCATTCGCCCAAGCACCATTCTTTCCATGACCACAATCACTCTGGGAAGAAGTGGGACTGATGTCCTGTTTTATGGGGGAAGTAACACCACCTGAGCTGACAGCCACAAACACAGTATTTGTGCCTCCTGCTCACGTTAGTTTCCTGGGCATGCCTCTGCCCTCACAGGCAGCCCCTGGGGACTCAGGCGGGGCTGCCTGCCCAGCCCCCACATGGGGACCAGGGCGCTTGGCATGCTTCCTCCCCTAGGCCCCACTCAGTGCCATTCATCTCCTGGCTCTCTTCCCTTTCCTTCTCCTCCTCTTTCTCCCAACTCTGCTCAGTTACGTCATAAAACTCGTGTTCTCTTCCATATGGGAACTAAAAATGTATCCTAAACTTGTCTGATAACTGTCACAGTAGTGCTAGCACCATAATGAAGGAGACATAATGAAGAACCGAAGCTGTCAACATCTAAAGCTCTTGAGAGTACCAAGAGGTCCCTTTCAGAAGCTCCACAAAGGAACTTTCTACTTTCTCATCCCCTCCTAATTAAACTGGCTTTTCCTCAAGTACCAGCATTTTAGACAGACAAAAAACCTTTTGTTTTCACTACTGGGTTTCTGTTTTAATTAATAACCTCACAACAGCATTGTTTTCTAATACTTTTGTTGCAAAGATAGAGTATGTCAATTATATTTTAGGATAAATTGCAACACTATGTCTATGACAAATCGTGTACTAAATGCCACACTGACTTAAACTTCTGTAATTAAACCAATTTCTAAATTAGGACTGGTCTTTTTTTTCTCCTATGCGGTTTTAAATGTTTGTTACAAGAATTTCCTCTTTGGCATGTTTCTTTTATATAAAAATTTAGAAGTGTACAATAGTACCACCCTTAATACCACAACTTTATGTGTACTATTCCACCTATAAAGCATACATTATTATGACACCCCCGTTCCCCATTTTGAATTTAAGATTCAGAAGAGTTCAGTAAATCACAGCTAGTAAGGAGGAGAGCCTGAATTCACGTCTTGGTTTGGCAGCCTCTGACTGATTTCTTCTCCTCTATATTGGCTACTACCACCAAGCACATAAAACAAAGCTTCCCAGCATGGATCTGAATAGGTCATGCCTGTGTGATCTACATCTCCATCATTCCCTGCATCTCCATCTAATTCAAAAAAAAAAAAAAAAAAAAAAAAAAAACACCTTACCAGATCTCAGGAGAACAAGAAAAGAGATTGGCAAAATCTCTGAAGAAGAAGTAGTATATTCAGATCATTTAGTAAATTCAGAGCTGTATTGGAAAACAAAACTGTATCTAGCAGAGACTCTAGCTGTGCAATTAATAATCAGCATCTATTATGCATTCTAAATAGGTCTCACCTGGCTCTGAGCATCAGCACAGAATATGGGTTATGCACCTGGGCTTTTCTGTTACCCAGAGTGCTAGGGCTTTCCTTACTAACTTGCTCCAATGGCTTTAATACAGCTTGCCTAACAAAGATTCCCACATACAACAAATGTCTTGGGGTCTGCAACACAGTGAAGGGCAAAAGRAGAAGGAGCCCGGATTCGGTTATAGGAAATGACCCTTTTCTATGCACGCACCTTGCTGCTGCACATGAGGCCAGAGCCTACTGACTCTTTCAGCATACCACATTTCTATTGATCTCACTCTTCTTTCAATAAGACTTTGGTGCCTGGGGTCAGCAGGCCTCCTGCCCTCCACTCTACCTTCTACTAGCTTAACTTCCTATGTGTGAAATGCTAGAATTCAACATTCTCAGACTCTCTTGCAGCTAGCATCCTAGATACAAATTAGGATCCTCTGATGAGATGTTTTTACATGAGGTTTAGAAGGCAAAAGTGAGACAGAAACCAACTGTCTACGCTGTTTTTCTTTTTTTCTTTTCTAACAAGCAAGATCATAAAATGGCGAGCTAATTTTTTTTAACAGCCTTATTCCTATGTTCAGTCTACAACTCCCAGGTTGAGAGGCTGTTGAGACAGCAGCAGTAGCTATTTGATGTGGCTTCCTGAACCCTGGACTACAGTCATAGGGTATGTTTTACATCCTTATTCCTAAATGACCTCAGAAATGGTCATTTTCCCTGGTAAATAGTCTTGCATTGCCCCAGATCTGCCTCCTCCACATCTTTTTCCATCATCATCGTAACCATTAACATTCCTTATGTGCTCACTAAGTATTAGGCACTGTGCTAAACCCTAAAATTATAGAAGTTAATTTAAACCCAAAAATAACCCTGTGGGGAAGGGATTATTAGCCTTTTTCCCAGATATAATTACTGGGGTTCAGAAAAGAGATAAATCATACAAGATCAGAACAAAGCTAGTGGGTAAGTAGTGGAGCTGGAATTCGATCCCAGATTTGCCTCCCTCCAAAATCAGAGCACTGCCACTTTAAAGTTGAGGGCCTGTGACATGTGGGCAGATTTGAATTGCTCATACCTATGATGTTGCTGAAAAGACATCATTATCATTCCTTCTCCTTCAACAATATAAACACACAGGCCAGTCTATTTCGTGTCAAGTTGCATCGAGATGTGGTAGAAGCCTTCAGTCTAATTAAATAGAAAGCCATTCAGAGATCCAGAGGTATTGCTTTGTGAGGCCATACCAAGATCATTTTTACTGCCAAAATTAAAGAATGGAGATGAAAGCAGATGTAGCCTTCCACTTGCTTCCGTGAGGACCAGAACTGGAGGGATCAGACACACGACTTACCAGGTGCTCGGTTAACAGCGAGGTTTCGGAAATGGCTGCCTTTGATCATTTCCACAGATAATCGCCCCGTTGTGGCATTGTAGGACAGCCCCACCAACAGCTCTGGCGCCCCTCCATGAGACAGCGACTGCGTGGATGAAGCACTATCACTGTGAGAAACTGCAGATGGGCTGAGCGGCGACTCTCCACTCTGGAAGGGAAGAACAACAAAGAATCCATTGGCCCACACTGCACTACTCTCTTTTAGAGAAAGCCGATATTATGTTTGGTGAAATTGTGACCCCATCTCAATGACTGCCAAAGATTACTAACGGCGCACTCAGTGTGAATTACAATGTGCCCAGGGAGTGCAGCCACGGATGAGATCCCCTTCATTACTAGCTGACATATTTGTTCCAAGAGCTGTCTCCATTCAATATTTCCTCTCTAAAGACAAAACGGACAAAGATGTTATTACTAGTATAAATCAAACCTTCTAAGATACATGGAGAGCTAATAATACATTTAATATAGACCAAAATTCCCTCCTGTGCAATTTGCRCCTGAATGTTTCCGTGGAACCCATCCACTCCAGGCCTGGGATTTGCTTCTGTTCTCTGCACCCTCTGGATGAATGCAGCAATACAAGAGGCATTTTTGTCTCTCAACTATTCAAGAATTGACCACTGGACATTGACCACGACATAGGATATTTGGCCCCTAGTCCTACTTTCAAGGTTGTGAGGTGTATACCAAATGCTCAATTTTACCTTCTAAGGAAATCAATTACATAGAAAATGAGCACTTTCACAACTGTTTGATAAAGAAGCCAACACTTGGACTATGCATCTCAGTGAMCTCACAGGCACCAGGTGAGCCCAGAAGAGAGCCCAAGCTTCCCGGCGCATTTATTCACATGCGTGCTTCTTATGATCATCGGATTTATGCACCAGGGACATCAGGAGAAAGGCAATAAAGTAGATTAGAATGCTGATTCTCACTGAGGGGCAGGAGTAGGCATCAGCCCAGCTACAGCAGGCCGGCCAGCACCTCTAACACACCTCCTCCCCGGAAATAAGCATGTTGGACTTCACTTAAAACTCTCTTCTGTCTGAAATCATTTCCTAAAACTTCTTATCAAGAACCCAATAAGCAAAACTAACAAAAGGAATAAAATATTCTGCATATCAGCAGGGAAATATCCTTTTTTACCCAAAACATGGGCATTTCTAAGAGCCCCAAGCTTTCATGGAATACCATTTATAAATTATAGATAGGGCCAGGTGGTTTTGACAGGTGCCTCACAGGCTCTGCTGTCTAGAAGATAAAAATCCAGCAACAAAATATATGCTTTGTTTGGGGGAGGGCCACCGCCACCCCTGTGCTTCTACAGAAGCTCCTACTGTGGTACCTGTCACTGCACTGCTTGCCTTGCCCATCAAATTCCAAAATCTGTATCCCTTTCTCAGCCCCTAGTGCATAAACCATGGCTTCTAAATCTCTTAGTCCACAATGCATAGCCTAATATATGGCACATAATCATGCCCCATAAATGGCTGAGCAATGAAAGAATTTTCACCTTCAGAGATCTTTCACACTGGCTCCTTTCCCCCATGCAATCTGTGCCTCTAGCACAGAGCCCAGGACCTGGTACAGAGAACCATGGGTGTGAACATACTTATACCTATGTTTTATAGTCCAGAGTCCTTTCTGACCTGAGGWTTCTGATTTCCATGGTTTCAGATATATGTTATCAGAGCTCAAACAAAAGAGAGATTTGAGTAGAAGCGACACATGATCTGGGTTTTGTTTTAACAGACTCATTCTGGCCTCCATGACAGGAATAATCTGTAGGGGGCAAAAGCAGTATCAGAAGAGCATCAGCTAGAGGCTATTTCAGTAATCCAGCAGAGGAGCAGGGTTCAGCAGAGGAACAGCATCTGGTTGCATTTGAAAATAYAGCTCATAGGATTTCAAGTGGAAAAGATTTTAGCCCTAGCAACTGGAAGGATTCTATTGCTTCTAATTGAGACGTGGAAGATGGCAGGTGGAATAGATTTAGGGAGGCAAAAATCAGGATTTCAAGTTTGACCATGTGGAGACACCATRTGAAATTCCAATGGACAGATCTCTTCTCACTGTGGTCAAGGAGCCTTTTTGGTTCCTTTGTTCTTCCTCCAACAAAGCAAGCTTCTCTCCACCTCCCCAAGACTACATGTGCCTGAAATCCTCCACCTCCACATGCCACCAGTCTTTTTCCCTCAATCACTGGAACTTTGCTTTATCACCACCTCAAAGAAACCTCCCCTGACCCTTCTAAACAAACAGCAGCYTCTGTCACTCTCTCCTGCCAACCTGGGTCTGCCTGTAAACACTCTCCGCACTGGACCCTGGAGCACTAGCTGCTCAGTTTGTGTGTGCATGTGCCTTGCTTTGTCTCTACAGTACCTGGCAGGAAACATCTTTGAATGAGTGGCTGACTGGCCCAACAGCCCATGGCTACCTGATATTTTTACATGATTTTGTAAAAGGTGATCTTCACACTAGATGACATACAACCCAGGGCAAAAGCGGGCTGCCCATCATGTAGACACACAAGCTACGTTGTCTTCCCTTAAAACCCTGGGGCAGAAAGCAGAATGAGGTATGTGGGAGGAGGCCAGTCCGATAAATGGAAGGTCTAAGAAGTAGCTAGGGTTCAGAGCTGGTATTCTACAATGCTCCCACATCCTTGTTTAGGACCTTGCCTTGAAAGTCCCATCTCTTAGATTCACCATAATACATACTGGGGGCTGGAGGGCTAGGACCACTTATCCACTAACCAGAAAGCCCAGTCACCTCTCCAGGTTTTTCCATGCCCTTTACCACACTGCTACTGTCATTTCCATAAATGAACGGGGAATACATCCATCAGGTTATCAGGAAGACAGGCATGAAAGACCCATAATACCATGAAGTGCAAATCATGGCTTGTAAAGATGAAGAGAGCCAAAAGGAAAATTAAATTAAGGTCTCTGCATTCAAAGCTGAATGTACTAAATCAAGGGCTGACAATCCCAGGTCTTCGAACACACCGCATCATTAGCAGCACCATTTAACATACTCACGCTTATATTGCTTCTTGGCTCCAGAACCAGAGTCACTTTCATTTCCCCTTCTGGCTGTAGGTGGCTAAGATAGAAGAGCTTCTCCCCCATCATTCTCTCTCGGGTCATCTTACGGGCAGCGTACAGTCGGAAGCGGACAGCACAGGAAGCCACATCTCTGGACTCCAGCTTGGCAAAGGTGACCTTCTCCTTAAAGACAGGGTGGGGCCCCCTCTGTATGCTCGTCCTGCCCCTCTGTTTCTTACTGGGCAGCAGCACTACATGAACTTGCCAGGAGTTGACRCCACTTCTGTCCTTATCTGGGAGGCCCTGTGCTCTCACAATGGTCACTGTGAGCTTCTGGGTCGCAGCTCGATATTCAAAGATGACATCTAGGTCACCACACTTGGAGATGGGATCCAAGACCCCGGATGGCACCTGCAAGCTGGTCCTATCCTGTTCCTGTTGAGGATGGAACAAAAGATTAGGAATGAAAAATGATGATGCCTAATTGCATTTGGACAGGTTCATGCCCTTGGTGCTCCTTCAGAATCCCACGCTTTTTGACTGTCAGTGCATGACCTTCTAGGTTAAAAAGGTCTGTTTTCTGATCTCTCTCCCTTAAACTGTGAATTCTTGGAGGGCACACTGCCTGACATATGGTGAGCCTTTATGAATGTTTTTGGAATTAATAAATAAAGCTTTTATATTTTGCAAAGTGTTTTCTGATATGCTGACTCTCAGAAAGCACAACTGTCCACTATTGTTGAAAATTAAGTCAACCATGCAATTGCCAACAGACTATTTTTTCTTGAGTTCTCGGGAGAATTGGTTGAGATTGGGCCCATCCTCTGCAGCCCAGAATCTGCTATAGACATAAAACCTAATGTGATTCCTGGTAAAGTGATCCTTCAGTATATCTTAAATCTATATAGGAGAAAAGGTTTAGGGCTCAGTTTCTTAGAGTTTAATGTAGACCTGAATAATCCAAGGATTCTGATTTGGTAGGTGTGGAGTGAGGCCTGAGATTCTGCACTTCAAAGACATTCACAAGGCATGCWGGCCTCAGACCACAATTGGAATAGCAAAAGTTAGGGAGGACAGCCCCAGCAGCCACCTAGCAAAAAGCAACACTGGACCTGAAGCCAGAGCACTTGAATTGAAAAAATGACTCCATCACTGATGAGCTTTTTTGACCCTGGCCAAATAGCCCAGCTTCTGCATATTGTAACCAAAAACACACATTAATATGCCTACTTGATAGAGCGTGGTTATGAGGTTGTAATACACACGAAAATACCTGTTTCAAACAAATACCATACTATGTATTCCCACCACTGGACTGGKGCTATTTCTTAAAAAGCCCCTCTCTTTATGGAACACACCCTGGGACAGCAATTTTCTGTAGATACTTGGGTTTGAGCTCACCTAGGAGAAACTGAGCCGAATGTCATTTACTATAATGAATCACCCCACCAACAAATTATAAGGAATGTCAATAGAATTTTAATTTTTCTTTGAAGGTCTGTGTTTTATCTGGAACTAAACTTTGGACTGATTCGTATTATAAGTTAATTCTTATTTATATTGGACACCAGACTTCACTAATTGAGAGAGCTCTTCATTTCAAACATTATAATAAAACACCTCAAAATGTACATTCAGCAGTGAAACTTGCCCAAGGAGTCCAAGGGAAAGTAAATGGTTCTCTGGCATCTAACATCCCTAGGAATCCCAGTTCTACCACTTACTAGCTCTATGACATTGAGCAAATCCTTTCCACACTGCACTTTCCTCAATAGTAAAATGGGGATAACACCCACTGTATAGGAATGTTGTAAAAAGGAGAGGACTTGACAAATTGTAGACATGTCACAAGTGCCTTTCTCTTTTAAGATTAAAATTAGGCTGCCAAGAAAATTCAGATGTCTTRTAAAATAAGGGAAGCTTCTTATATCTTTTCCTTTGAGCATGCGATCATGTATGAACGTTTCTATTCAGAGGTACTTAGTTTCAAGTGATGAAAATGGTTGCTATAGAGACCTCTGAATACAACTGACTAGTGTATATATAATATTAGAAGCAAGTCTCCGAGGAGTTAGGCCAACTCAAAAATCAAGTCACTGTCTTTTCTCAAATTCCCTTGTCTCAAAATTCCCACCTATTTTAGCCTACTCTCTCAATCATACCTCTATTGCTTGTATAGACATAAGTAATAATGGCTAATATCTACTAAGCCATTCCTYATGCTGGGTACCATATCCAATCCTTTAGAGACCGTAAAAAGCCAGCACTTAAACCCTTCAAATCTTCTTGGCCTCTCCTCTGATTCCATCTTTCCTGCAGGCACAGTGTCTCTGGACTCTAAGTGGCTTCAGCCTGGCACAACCCCTGAAGTTCTTATCTCCTGCTCATAAAATATAGTTCTCAGATTTCATTATTGGCCTGCTGATTCCAAGGCTTAGAGAGCTGCATAACCCTGCTTCACACCACACATGGAAAGTCCAAAAGTATGCTGGGGTTAATGTCCCATGCAACAAAGTTTCRCCCTGGGTCAGACATCCTCAGTTCRGCTAATATAGCTTCTGAGAGTGCGGTTCCAACAAGATAAAGCAATTAATTACTGTGAGCAGCAGCTAACTCAGGGGAAGATGTCATACTGAATCTTCCCTGCCTTATCCCCTCATCTTTCAGTCTGGTTCCTTGGGAGTGCAGGCCCTACCAAAGTCTTTGTCTTAAGCTCTGCTTTATTGTGGAACCTAAGAAACTTTATCTTTTTAAACATTCACATCAACTTAATGAAGTAGGTATCTAAATAGCTTCATGTCATGGAGGAATAAATCATAGTTAAGAAAGGTTAAATAACTAACACCTCTCCCCSACCATGCAAAAGTCTAGTGCCCAGCCAGAATCACCCAGGGCTCATCCTCTGCCAGTCTGAGCCTACGGCCTGCCTTAACCAGTATGYAATACTCAAAAAACTTTAAACTTCTGCTAAACCATGTGGCCTTCCTTTAGCTTCCCAAAACCTTTTGCCATAATTATCTGTATGTATAGTGGATGTGCGAGATGAAGAGGGAAGAAGGTGGGAGCTGGAAAATATTACCGTCAATTTCATACCCTTTAGGCCTGTTCGGGCCTAAAAAATATTAGTTAACATGTTGTTCCTAGATTTATCATCAACTTGAATGCTAAGGTAAAAAATTCCAAGTTAATAAAGATCTTTCCATTTCTCTTTCAGGCCATCTCTTCGGATAAATGCTCACTCCACCTTTATGTTCCACAGGTGTCCTGGGTAAAGCTCTTCCATAACCATCCTAAGAAGTCTGCATGAAGCAAAATGGCCAAATTCTGCATGGGCCTGTTGAGGCTGTGGCCCATGAAAACTGGGCTTCGTGGCCCCTTCCTGGGTTGATGTGAGATGGAGATTTGCAAAGGTTGGTATTTTCAAAGCAATTAATTATTTCAACACACACTGCCTATCACCAGGCAACTGAAGGAGCTCCTCCTGTGGGTACTGTTAATTCCGCTAATCCATTTGACCTTCCTGCAAGGTAAAAATCTCTTCATTCTTATCCCCATTTGGCAGATTTTAATTAACTTCTCAAGGCCAACCAATTAATCAGTGGAAAACAGAGATGAAAAGTGGGACACCTGCCTCCCTGTGTGCTGGAAATCGCCAACCACCTCTCATTGTCTTCCCTGCCAAGTCCTYAGTCTGTAGAAAAAAGTCAACAGCCTTTGCCAACAGAGAAGAGCAGCGCTTGAAAATCCATCAGCCTGGCAGGTATCACACTGCAGGACCGGTTTCCTTCAGAGACAAAATTCATGATTCCTTGAGATCTAATATCCTGGGTTTTTTTCTTTAAGATGGGAATACTTGCATCAACCTGTAAAATCCAGGTAGGTTTAAAGATTTTCTGTCAAACTGACAAGGCTTTCTGATTTAGTAAGATAGTGTTGATGTCATCTGTGTGGCCAAAGTAAACAGACCCACAACACGTTCCCGATGCCAGATACATGGGGGAAAGATGGGGTTCTTAACGCAGCTAAGAGGCAAATAAATCAATTCTTAAGAGGCGAGCTAAGCCTGCAGTGCAGGCAGTTATGGGAACTGCCTCTGAGCTGGATTTGAAGTTCTACTGTAGGAGCACCAAATTACAGCTTTTGTCTTGAAATAGATATGAGGTTGAATGGAGCACACAGAGATGTCTGGGTATTTGGGGAGTCTGAGAACATTCAGTACCCTCAACACATCTTCTCTTTAGGATCCCCGGGGCAGGTCAGCAGGAGGTTCCATGGAGAAGAGATTACCAGCCTGGTAGCACAGTTACCAAGCAGAGTACAAACAGGCAGGTGAAGAGCTCTGTTTTGTTTTTGTGGTAAGGGAGCCAAATGAATATCTTTAAATGTTACTGTGTGGGATTTGATCTGACTCTTTCTTTCTTCTTTTTAACAAAGCTGATGAGGTCAGTGGCCTTGGGTACCTCTATAGCAAGGACTGCTTTTAATAAGCTGTACAAACCATACATCTGAGTTACCACTCCTGGTCCTGGGCAGAAACACCAACCCAGAGGTACAGAGGCATGTGCACACACACCCTCACACACACCTCCTTACATGCTCCCTACACTCCCCAGCATATCTGCAGTACGATTTTGAAACATGATTTTCTTTTGTGTTTCCTTGAGCATTCAGAGTGAGTATGTGTGTGTGTGTGTGTGTGTGTGTGTGTGTGTACTAATAAGAGATTCATTCTGTTTATTTTCTCAGACTGAAATTAATAAAATCCATTCACCCTTCTCTTCCTCTATCTTCACAGCTTCATGTTTTATATACTTATATGACCTATTTCATCAAAATCAATTTCATATTAGGTACTAAAAACTACTATTTAATACCTCCTGGTGTCATGGAATTAGGATTGGAGGGGATCTAGCTAATGAAGAATGACTGGTAACGTATGAAAGATAAAACAATGTTTGTAAAATCCTTCTTACTAGGGTGTAGTAACTGGCATTTCAATGAATGGCAGCTATTCCCATYATCCCCTCTGGTCATATCTCTAGATGGTTAGGCATATTAGGGATCAGATTTAATTGAAAAAGAAATTCAGAAGAAGCATCTTTCATCAGAGATTTATTCAAAGGCTAGAGGGTCATTATAGACGACGGTCATCTCCTAGACCTCCAATTCAATTAAAAGCTAACGAATATACTAACACATGCAGCAAGACCCTCATCATAATATCATGCATAATTTTATTTGGAGGCCTACTTCATTTTAGTGAAATTCTCAATTTCCATTTCAAATGATCACAACTAAAGATTTTGGGTATGCAACCAGGAAGGAAATAAACCAACCTCTCCAAAGAACTAAAAGTTTTCTTTGTATAAAAATAAGTCCTGTAAGGGGTCATTTTATCASTATTCTTCTTCCTTTTTTTATCTAGCATTCTTTTCTTTGCATTTGAAACAAATTTACTTGTGATTCTTTTATTCATGTGCTCAGGGACTTTGGTTATCTAAAGAAAAATTTATTTTTTAAAAAAGGGGTATTTTAGGTCTTTGTTTTTCAAGGCAAAGTTTTCTTTCTGGAAAAAACTTGGTGAAAGGAGGGTAAGGAGAAGAAAATGGAGGAAGAAAGAGATGGGGAGAGGAACCCAAAGAATATACACTGATAAAGCAAAGAATGGAAAACAAATAACTCACCTCTGGACTCCATACTGAGGAGCTGTCAGTAGCATAGGAATCTTCAAATCCCCGGTTATTAAAATCTGTTTCCATCTCCAAGCTGCCCTCTGTGGACTGACGACTGAGGCTTCGAACCCCACTGGTCTCTTGGTGAGAGGTGCCATGATGTCTGTTGTCTCCTCGCTCACATGGGGACCGTGAAGTAACAGAGATGGCATGATCTTTGTAAGACAGGATCTCAGAATAACTCAGTTGGCTGGTTCTATCCAAATCTAAATTTACAGAGAGAAAAGTATTTCAAATGCATTGTTTTTCATACCTAGAGAAATTAAGCCTGTGCAACCACAATAATCAAGACCACAAAAACAATATGCACACCAGTAACATCTGCAGAAAAAATTCTACCCATGCAGTGGATAAATTTGATCCATATAATAAAAAAGACCATCAGGTCTTTCCATGAGGTTCAAGTAGGTTTGATACTTCCCAATAATATGAGTATCAAGAATGGGTATCTAGCCAGTTGCAGGGGCACCCACCTGTAATCCCAGCCACTACAGGGGCTGAGCAGAAGGATCACATTCAAGGCCAGTCTAGGCAACTTAATGAGGCCCTGTCTCATAATAAAAATAAAAATGGCTGGGGGTGTAGCTCAGTGGTAAAGTGCCCCTGTGTTCAATCCCTAGTAACACACACACACACACACACTCTCTCTCTCTCTCTCTCTCTCTCTCTCTCTCTCTCACACACACACACACACACACACACATACACACACACACACAATGATATTTATATTAAAAGGATAAATTTAACACAAGCATTTTGTTGGGACTAAAAAACACAAGACTTCAAGAATGGCTCCAGAAAGCAAAAATAGTAATCTAATGTGGAGATCATGTTGGATCATGGGGTCAAGATCATGGAGATCATGACTCTCCCATTGTTCTTTCTGTCTCCCATATTCACTAGAGGTTTCTGTAGTTTTCTYAGGTGAAAGTTCTCTGTATGACCCGTAGAAAGAACACTGGCCTTGGATTCTGACAATCTGGATCTAAGTTCTGTCTCTGCCTTAAGAACTTGAATAACATTCAAACTCTCGGAACCTTTATTTCCTTATGTTAAAAAAAAAAAAAGATAAAACCCATCAGAGGGTCACTGTAGACACATGAAACCATCTGTCTGACAGCCAACAGGCCCTTTCTTATCTGACTGCCCCCAGTTGGCTTTGTCTAACTCAGTTTCAACTGGGATCCTCAAACCCTCCTTCCTGTCCTTTCCTGCTTGTCCATCCAAGGCCCCAACCAACTCCTGAACTATCCTGACTGCGTCAGACTCAGTGTTGTTCTGACCTTAGTGTTTCACTTTCCCTCTCCCCTCTCTCCTTCTCTCCTACACTCTCCCTGYACCTTCTCCAAGCCTTATTCATCCCATTCCTCACCCTCAACATCTAAGATGCCCTCAGATGGTAAAGAAAAACTGACAGAATGCCTAAGTGACAGATTTTACCCTGGTTTACACACATGTACACAGAAGTAGCTAAGATGTCTTATCTCTTTGGTCTCTAGTCCCTTCCAGTAGTCCTGTACCCAGGATGAGAACATATTAGAGATACAGACAGGACAGTGAGTGGGACATCAGAGTAGACTCACAGACTCAAATCTTACACCCACACTGCATAACAGCACTTGTTTCCCGTGTTAGCCTTACAACCCCAGGTGGAATAGAAGCTCCTTAAAGGTACAAAGCCATACACTTTACTGCATGGTCCTTATTAGGTTCTCATTAAGCCTTTGAATAACTCTGAAGTCTAGGCAGGTAACAAATATTTGAAGCAGCCAGATGTGTAGCAACATGGAGAGTCAGTGAGAGAAAGGTATATGACTCATATATACTAAGAAACCAAACTTACAGGATATAATGTTGCCCTATGCAGACCACATAAAATTATCCTCAGACAGTGGTGGGCCTGAGGGTACAACCTCAGACTACTGATTTGRGGTTTTGCAAAACCATAGCAGGCCATGGAGAATTTTCCTTATCTGCCTAGTTATTCTTAATTGTTCAGTTCAGGCCCTTGGAAACATTTCCATAGGGCACTGCAAAAATGCTACATTCACACTTWCAGCTATTTGGCAAACACACTTTTAAAAGGTCCCAAATAATGACATAGCAAGGGAAATTCCACATGCAAAAAAATAAAATAAAATAAAACCTACAACATAAAGCAGAATTTTCTTCTAAGTCTCTAATTAGCACACCCATTCCTCACATACATGAACAGTAAAATGTCATATTAAACAGTGGGTCATCTATCAATATGTGTAGCGCCCAGCAGGATATCAGCACAAAATCTAACTTTGCCAAGAAATTACTCCCATAAAATTGTCTCATGACTCTAACTCCTATAGTGATAATACCTAGATCGCTAATGAGAGAATTTTCAGCAGCTACATTAAAGCCTTGAAACATTATTCATAATTGAAAAAAAAACACAGGAGAATTATATTAATGTCACAAACCATTTTCTATGGCAGACAAGCAAGAAATGAATTAGAAAACCAAATCTGGGCTCATGTCAAGTTGCAAGGAGGTGGAAGGGGAAAGGTGATTCATCTTTCCATAAAGCAGACTTCCCTTCCTTGAAATTAAAAAGTAATTACATTGTTGTCAGAGAAATGTATCCTGGTTTCCTAGAAATTATAGGACATAATTATGTCACACCAATTCTATTTGTTTGACCAGAATATTTTTCAACTTGTCTAGTTTATAACCCATTTTGATGGAATAAAACCCTATTTTGCAATTGCTTTCTCTGGTATGCCCATCATCATCCATGTGTGAAGACTCTGCTTACCATCTGCGGTGGTCAGGTCTATGTGCCATCTTAGCAAGGCAATAGGGGCCAATGGTTCAATCAAACACCAGTCCAAGTATTGATGGGAGGGAATTTTGTAGGTGTAATTAAATGAGRAGATCAGTCCGTTGAAAAACAGTAAGATAACTACAACATCATTTATAAYTGGTCAGTTGAAAAACAGTAGGATATCTGCAACATCCCTGAAGTACAAATTCTAAGAACTGCAGCTTCATCTCACCTGAGAGTCTGAGCCTCCCTTCTTGACAGCTTGCCCTTTGCATTTTGGAGCTATGTATTTCTGTCACCTAGCTAGCCCCCATAATCACACAAACCAAGTCTTGGTAATAATTCTCTTGAAATATACACACCTACCCACACAGACACACGTGTATGTATATAGGGTGTATGTATTCCCACTGGTTTTATTTCTCTGGTTGGACYGTGATTGATGACATCATCCCAATCAAAAATGAGATTCCAGGAATAAATGCGCTGAGTTTGATGAAACCAGAGAGATATTATCTAGCTTTTTATGAAACATTCTCAGAATTTAAAAAAAAAAACAGTAATTGGACTATTATCCTACAGCCCACCTTTCATGCCTAAAGACCTCACACTCGGCCTCTGAATCAAACCACTTAGACCAAACCCACCTTGGCATAATCAGGAATGTACTGACAAGCCATGTGCAATAACACTGAATCAGATGCAGAGAATAAGAGAGAACTTGCCTGGAGTGTGGTGCTAATAACCTCACTACTGAGTCTAGAATGATCTCACTTAAGATGAAACATGAGACAATCTACTTAGTATATGGCTCACTCATGGTTCAGATTTTACTTGGAACTGAATCTATAATCTCACTGCCCAACACTTTTGAAAGCATTTTTTTTTTTTAGTGTGGAAATGTTTGTGCACAATTAAACTTGATCTTAGAAATYATGTTTATGATAGAATAAAATGGCTAAATATATAGACAGCAAGCAAAGAAAAATCCTCTCTGGAACGCATGTTTCATATTTTCATTTCTTATCATTGAAATAAATCCATCTTTATAAAACAAACAAGAAAAAAAGTCAAGCAATAAAAACTACATTAATGTTTCCATGGCATTTGATGACCTAAACTTTGGTCTGCAGCTATGCCTATGAAAATCCTGCTGATTTTCCTCAAAATTTACAGGCAATTTATTCAGTGTGGTGGAATTTTTCCTTTCTCCAGTAGAGAAAAATTTGCTTTTTCTATCACTATCTTCAAAAAAATGTTCACAACTACCAATTGAGACCAGAGACAGGTTTTTGCTAATTCCAGGAAGATAGGGGTTAGGTGGTTGTCACAACTCTCAGAACATTGGCCATTTGTGTAAATCAGAACCCAGACACTTGGGCTTCTGGGAAATGGAGCCATTAGCTTTAGAATTAAACAAGCGACTCCCAGGGAACCAACAGCTATTAACTTTCATTAGCTAACATTTGCCCTCTCCACAGAGAAAAAGGAATGCTCTGATGTAACAGAAGAGAAAGAGAAAAAATAAGGTGGGAGGAGGGTGGGGAGGGACGGTGAGGAAATGACAGAGGTCAGCAGCCATTCATATTGTGGTTTGGCCATTGCAGGCCTATATTTATTAGCTTACCTTGAACTAAAAACAATAGCGATAAAATGTCAGTCGGTATTTGTCAGTAAGTGAAACTACATGATAGGCAGCAAGTTTTTCCTGCTGAAAAATAACATGGTTCTATTTGTTAATTCTAGCTTTCCCTCCCCCACCTTGTTTTTTGCCTGTCCTGTCTTCACTGCCAAATCAAAATTTCTTCTCTTTCATCTTCTCTCAGTTTCTGTGATCTCCATTTTCTCTGTCTAGTGCGAAAATGAGGAAGGTGTACTATGACGTGCCCATTGGTTTCACTGACCACACGCCCAAAAAGAAAGAACTCGAATCACTGAGACCAGACCAAGAAGGTGCATGCTGTGACGGTCTCTCTAGATATTTACTAAATACACTTCCTGTCCCAGTGGGGCTCTGGGCATAAGAATATCAGAAAGATGCCTCACCTTTGCTCAGGGAAGCACTAAGAAATATCACCTTGTTCTTTTGGCTTCCTTTTCATTTTCTTTTCCTCTCTGGATTCTTAGACACAGAATATAATATCTAAATGACTCAAAAATATTATCATTGGCCATTGCTGGTCTAAATAAAGGAAAACAAGATGCAAAGGATACCTTTGCAGGCAGACACTCCGGCGCTATCTTCTTCGTGGGTAGGGAGCAAACGGCCACATTTGGGTTTCTGTTCCAATTCCTTAGGTTTTCCTTTCTCAGAAGCTCTTGAACGGAAACTCTGGGACCGGGACACAGAAATCTCAAATTGTTTGATCACGTCCTCATCACTGTCAGAAGATGTGGATGGCTCTTCATCATCCCCAATACTGTCAACTGGGAGCAAACAAGAGACATGAGTCTGTGTGGCCTCTGTGATCCGACAGAGAGAGAAACAGTCTGGGAACCTGGAGAAGAGTGTAKACAGCTAATCTGGATCAAGCAGATTCAAACTGCATAGGAAGGATCAGAAGCACTTCTGAAACGGAAAATTGAATCCAAAGGGATGAAACAGAGATGGCTAGAACCCAGGAGAGTCACTGGGATACCTGTAGGCAACATCACGAGCCATGGGGTTGAGCCGGGCAGCCCTGCTGATTGTTTATGTTGCTTACAGGTATCCACAGCTAGGAAGAGGACCTGTAAAAGTGCATCTGCCTGATGTGCAGTGTTGTGGGAAATACATTCTTCATATTATCCCATTTATTAAAACACACAGAGCCAAGTTCCACTTCAGAGAAGAGATATTTGCAACTAAAATTTTCCAATAGCTTCTAAGTTTTGAAAAGAGAATCATTGTGTCTATTTTAACTCATTTATACTATCCATGTTCTAAATCTTTCTCAGCATCAACAACCCAACCCAAATACCCTTTCAGATTTTTTTTTAATTTTAATTTGTTATATATGACAGTAGGATACATTACAATTCTTTGAATTTTTGAGAAATAAATTTCAATGGATATATTTGAGATTCACATGATGCAGGATACATACAGAGAGTAAAATGGTGTGATATTGAAGTGAATTAACATATCATCTCACATAGACACTTTTTGTATGTGACAAGAGGAGTTAAAAATCTACTTATTTAACAAAAATCTCTAATACAGCTTTGTTAACTAGAGTATTTGTGGTGTGCATCAGATCTACAGACTGTGTATTCTTACACATCTGCTACTTTGAATCCTTTGATCTACATCTCCCCATCCCTGCCCCACCCTATCCTTGGGAACCATTGTTTAATTCTCAGTTTCTTTGAATTTGACTTTTTTGGGGAAAAAAAGGTTTCATATATAATAAAAAAGTTTTCATATATACTGAGTCTAGAATGATCTCACTTAAGATGAAACATGAGACAATCTACCTAGTATATGGCTCACTCGTGGTTCAGATTTTACTTGGAATTGGATCTATAATCCCACTGCTCAACACTTTTGAAAGCACTTTTTTTAGTGTGGAAATGTTCGTGTACAATTAAACTTGATCTTAGAAAACATGTTTATGGTAGAATAAAATGACTAAATATATAGACAACAAGCAAAGAAAAAAAGCAAATCCTCTCTGGAATACATATTTCATATTTTCATTTCTTATCATTAAAATAAATCTATTCATTTCTTATCATTGAAATAAATCCACTGATGTAAAAACAAAAAAGAAAAAAAAAGTCAAGCAATAAAAACTACATTAATGTTTCCATGGCATTTGATGACCTAAAATTTAGTCTGCAGCTATGCCTATGGAAATCTTGCTGATTTTAAACATTTACAGATAATTTATTCAGTGTGGTGGAATTTTTCCTTTCTCCAGTAGAGAAAAATTTACCTTTTCTATCACTATCTTCAAAAAAGTTCACAACTACCAATTGTGACCAGAGACAAGTTTTAGCTAATTCCAGGAAGATAGGGGTTAGGTGGTTGTCACAACTCTCAGAAAAGCAGCTATRTTAGCTAATATGTTAGCTAATGAAAAAATGCTTTCAAAATGATTTTACATATATATAAGGTTTTTCAATACTTTTCTTTCTGTGCCTGGCTTATTGGCTTAGCATGATGTCTTCTGCATCCATTCATGTTGTAACAAATGGCAGGATCTTGTTTTTAAGGCTGAATAATATTGTGTGTGTGTGTGTGTGTGTGTGTGTGTGTGTACAGGTGTATACATGTATATACATACATGCCATATGTATTTGTGTATATATATTTAATTTATTCATTCCACCCACCTATAGACCCAGGCCGTTTCCATATCTTGGCTACCATGGATAATGTTCAATAAACATGGCAATGCAGATATCCTTACAAGATGGTAATTTTGTCTCTTCTGGGAAGCTCTCAGAAGAGGGACTGTTAGGTCATATGGTAGTTCTGGTTTTAACTTCTTTAAGAATCTGCCCACTGTTTTCCCCAGTGGCTGCACCAATCTATATCCCCACCAACAGTGTATTCGGATTTCTTTTTCTTGTCATTTTTTCCTTTTGATCCTGGCCATGCTAATGAAATGCCCTTTGAATTATTTGTACACTTCACCCACACTGGCACCCTTGCCTCTTGCAGATGTCCTTTACCTTAACTTTGATGTTCCCTCTGCCTCCCCCAGATGGCTCCTTCACATTCTAGTCTAGCTTGACTGTCACTCCATCCTAGAGGCTTCCTGGCCATCCTCCCTCAACTAGTTCTCCTCATAACAGTACTTCCTTGAAAATAAAAGCTATTATCTGTTTTGTTAAGTGATGTCTCCCCATTATATAAAACTATACCTGCTGCAGAGTAAGTGCTTAGTAAACACTTGTTAAATATTAAATAAATGGGTGAGCCGGGTGCTGTGGCACATGCATGTAATCCCAATGGCAGGGGAGGCTGAGATAGGATGATCATGAGTTAAAGCCAGCCTCAGCAAAAGCAAGGTGCTAAGCAACTCATTGAAACCCTGTCTCTAAATAAAATACAAAATAGGGCTGAGGATGTGGCTCAGTGGCCTAGTGCCCTAAGTTCAATACCTAGTAGTAGTAGTAGTAGTAGTAGTAGTAGTAATAGTGAAAACCCAGTTTTGTCCCAAGCCTGAGCACCCACGTAGCAATTAACATGCTGTCCCCTATGCCTGGGATACTTTTCTCTGGGCTTCCATCCAGACTGGTTAAGAATATAACTTGACACATCAGCCTAGATATCAGCCTAGATAGACTTCTTTCCAGAACATCCTTCCTTAATCCCTTAAATCAAGTTCAGGGCTCCTTCCATGTGCTGTAAAATATTTCTCTCTTCTCCCTTGCAAATGATCCCTCCCCACTGTGGGGACATTATCTATCTAACTTCTAATTGCCCCACCATCCTGAGTACACCATGAAGATAAGGGGGCACATCAAAGATTCCCCCATGCATGCAGGCCCTATCTCTGTCCCAGGCACACAGCAGATTGCTTGTTAAGTATTTGCTGACTGTGAACAGAAAACTATAGATAATGAAGAATAATTTTAACCCCTTCCTTGCATCTAAAAGTCACATAGTGATTCCAGAGAAGACTATGGTTGTTCCTACAGTGATGTAGTCACATCAATGTTTACAACAGCTCAATTCACAATAGCTAAACTATGGAACCAACCTAGGTGCCCTTACATAGATGAATGGATAAAGAAAATGTGATATATGTACACAATGGAATATTGCTCAGCCATAAAGAAGAGTGAAATTATAGCATTTACCAGGAGATGGATGAAACTGGAGAATATTGTGCTAAGTGAAATAAGCCAGTCCCCCCAAAACCAAAGGGATCTCAAGTCCCACCAAACAACAGATTAAATAGATCCCTCAAGAAAACAAAGCTGCATCCCAAATCTCTCAGCCCTGCTGTCACCCACACAAAGACATGGGTTTATTCCAGAGGTACCTAAGCCACTGTCTCCTAGAGCCCCAGCACCTATAGAAGAAGCATCATCATAGACACTGGGACAAGCAAGGAAGAAAATCTGTATTACTAACAACAACTTCATTAGTCCAAGAGAAAAAGCTGTAAAAACATGAAAAAGCAAGGGATGTATTTGATTCTCTGTTTTACTCTTTAGGTTTGGGAAGTTTGTTGATATTATTTCATTGAAAAGTTTGGGCATTCCTTTGGTTTCTATCTCTGAGCCTTCATCTATCCAAATGAATCTTAAATTTGGTCTTTTCATGTTATCCCATATTTCTTGGAAGTTCTGTTCATGCTTTCTTAACATATTACTCAATATATATACCAGGTATCTTCTTGGGACTTTGCATATACAATCCCATTTAATCATCATGGCCACCCACAAAGTAAGGACTATTATTATCCCCATTGTATAGAGAGGAAAGAGAGAGAGAGAATGGGTGAGTACTTTCCATAAGGGAAACAAAGTTAGGAAAGTAACAAAGCTTGGACTTGATCATTGAATGTATATCCTTAACCACTGCACCTATCACCAGATCTCATTACACCAGGAAACCGAGCCACCTCTAGCTTAATTTTCCTGATGAGGTGAGAAGGAGCTTTGCCACTTACCCTGAAATCTTCTAGGAGGCTGCTTCCTTTGTAATGGATCAAAGAAGAAAAGAACAGTGGAGAGCAATCAGTGCATGTGGTGTGAATGTATATGGCCAGGCTGCAGGATAACTGGCCTGTTGCTCCTCATGAGATTATATATACAGTGCTATTCTAAGCCTCACTGCCCAAGAACCTCAGAGAATTCTCCAGTCTAAAAAAGGAATCTGTAACCTCTTCCAAATGCCACTGAGCAGCAACAGTAGCAGCATTATAGTTAATAAAAGCAATCTCTGGTATGGCATTTATCATGTGCTAGGAATTGTTGTAGAACTTAATGTATGTTCATTTATTTATTGCACACAAAAAACCATTGAAATGAGTACTGCTAGTAGACCCATCCTAAGGATGGAAAAACAAAGGCACAGTGAATAATTTGCTATAGTCATAATAGTTCATAAGTTGTAGACCAGGATGCAGTCCAAGCCATCTTACTCTAAAATCCTTGCTTCTTCGAGACAAAACTCTTAAACCATAAACAAAACTGATAAAATTGTGTTTTATCACTAAGAAAATAAGTCTCATAGGTTAGGTTGGAAAGAATTTTCATGAGTATCTATTCCTTAATTTTCACAGAGAAACAAAAGCCTAAAAAGTGTTTTTCCCACAGTCATACCAAGCCAAGTCCAATTCCAGAACTCCGGTGTTTCAAGTTGATAGTGTTGCCATATAATTTTCCAGCCTTTCTTCCTAATGGTTTTGAGTCTTTTTTTTTTCAAATTCAATATTTGGCTCTTATCTATTTGAATCTGTTATAATGCAACTGTGTCAACAGCT